TATTATAAAATTATAATATATAATTATATAGTTACAGTCTCTATTAAAGTATATATATTATATAATAATATTATATATAATATAATATATACTATTATATCATTGATATATAAAATACATAATATTATATACTTACATAACAATACATTATATAAGTATAACGTATACTTTATATGTAAGAATAGTAATAAATATAGAAAATATAATAATTAAAAATATATAAATATAATTATTCTAATATATAATTATATATTTTTATTAAATATTTTATTACTTATTATAAACAATTATAATATGTCTACTATTATAATTAATATAATACTTATAGTACAGTAAATAAGACATAAATTATATTTATTATAAATAAATTAAATTTTAATTTTGGGGATTAGAAATAGATCCCAGCTCCTCTGGGATTTCTTTCTCCCCCTGCAGTGGCTGGCACAGGGATACCCACGGGTGCAGGGCTCACCCTCCAATTCTCACAGGAATTTGGAATACCCCCAATGCAAGGTTTGCCCCAGCAGGAGGTTGAGGATTTTTGGAGCTTTTTGGGTGTCACATTTATTTTGCCCCAGCAGGAGCAGGGGATTTTTGGAGCTTTTTGGGTGTTACATTTTTATTTTGCCCCAGCAGGAGGCAGAGGATTTTTGGAGCTTTTTGGCTGTTACATTTTTTCCCCGCTGTTCTTTGTCCCACCCATGGCTCTGTGACAGCTTCTGGCTCCAGGCAAACCTCACTGTGGGAGGCTTGGGCAGAAAAATGTGCAGAAAAATGTGCCTAAAAATGCACTTTAGTGGCCGAATCTGCCCAAACTGAATGTGAAACAAACTCAGCAGCAAAAGTCACTTTTATTTTCTGTTCCACTGCTGTCCCTTCCCTGCAGCTCCTTCCCCTGCCAATCCTGGCCTGAATTCCGTGCTCTCTCCCAGTTTCCTCTGCTTGGAGGCACTTTTTCCTCGGAATAAATGCAATATTCTGATTTTTTCCAGGTACCACCAGCGGGTGCTGTACATTGACATCGACATCCACCACGGGGATGGGGTGGAGGAGGCTTTTTACACCACAGACAGGGTCATGACCGTGTCCTTCCACAAATACGGAGAATATTTCCCAGGAACTGGGGACCTGAGGGTGAGAGCCACCAAAACCCCCAGGAAATTTGGGCTTTTCTCCAGCTGTCCTAGCTGTCCCTGTGTGACAGTGGTCAGAGGGGTGGGTGGGCATTTTTTAAACCCAAATCTTTGCTCTCAGTCTCTCTGGTGCTCACCAAAATGACTCTGAAAGGGACATTTTGGTCACCTCGCAGCCCCAGCTTGGTGACACAAACTCTTGGGTGAAGGTTTCTCAGGGAGTGGATTTTTATTGGCATTTCCTGCTGTGACTCAGAGTGTCACCTGTGCCTTGTGACAGAGCTCCTCAGGAGTGAAAAGTTCCTTTATTTATTTTTATAGGATTTTTTACAGGACCAGTGGTATTTTTTAATCTAAATCCTCTCATCTTTCACTCAGGATTTTTATTTTTTCAACCGTGCCAAGAGCTTGGTGCTGCACCAGAAATGAAATAACTATTTTTAATAAACCACTTTGGGTGTGAGATTGATAAAAAGAAACATTAAAACAGATAATTTTTTAGTGTAGCATATTTTATTTTTATTTTAAAGTAAAATGAACCGATTCAATGACTGCTCTGACCAGCCCGGTAGGCTGCTGCGCGTCTCTGCAGTAAATCGTTAATATTTAACAATATTCATTCCTCTGGCTTAATATCTGGATTAGACTGTGTTCCGAGGTTCTTTTCCCATTTTGGGGCAGAATTTGGGTTTCTGGTGAGCTCTGGTTCCCCTCTCACCCCACAGGACATCGGGGCAGGCAAAGGGAAGTACTACGCTGTCAATTACCCGCTGCGGGACGGCATCGACGACGAGTCCTACGAAGCCATTTTCAAACCTGTAAGTGAAGCCTCTTCTGCTCAGGGATCCTCTGTGCCTCCCTCTTTGTCCTTAGGACCATTCTTTGGGAGATTTTATTGAGTTTTTGCATTTTTTTTCTCTCACCAAGGGCGCTGTGTAGGGATACAAAAAGGTGAAAGACTTTACAAAGTGCAAAAAGGCCCCAGAAAGTCAACATAAAGCTGAGAAAGGCTGGGAAATTTCAAAACCTTCTCATGGGAAGCTAGGAAAGTAAGAACCAAATGATTTCAAAACCTTCTCATGGGAAGCTAGGAAAGTAAGAACCAAATTATTTCAAAACCTTCTCATGGGAAGCTAGGAAGCTAAGAACCAAGTGATTACATTTATATTTATCATAAGGAACAAGAAAGAACAAGAACTTTTTGATAGCTTGGAATGTGAAAAAAGTCCTAGAGATAGGCTTTGCAAAGATAGAAAAAGTTTCAATCTCATATAATGAATTATTGTGTATTGTTTGAGGTTCACAGAAGTCCTTTTGTTAAACCCACGTGGCTCCTTTTATTGGTTAGAGTATAATGGCTTTGCACCTTTTATGCTGTTGGTTCCAAGAATATGCAGAAAAAGAAAATACGCCAGCCCCTCTCTGATGTGGATTTGCATGGATGTTGTTGTTTCTGTCTCCTGCTTTTTGCTTGCTTGATACAGACAGATAATAAATCCTGAGTGAGCATCCAGCCAGGGTCCCACCCCGTTTGTGAGACAGAGTGATCCACCAGTCCCCCAACAATCGGGCTCTGTGTGGGAGCTCCTCGGTGTCAGGGCACCAGGGATGGTGTCACCGTCCCTGTGCTGCTGTGACAGCGGCCTGGGGCAGGGGCTGACAGGACTTTGATGTTCAGGTGATCTCCAAGGTGATGGAGACGTTCCAGCCCAGCGCCGTTGTCCTGCAGTGCGGCTCCGATTCCCTGTCTGGGGACAGGCTGGGCTGCTTCAACCTCACCATCAAAGGTAGGAGCTGCCCTGCCACGGGCCCTCGAGGCTCCCAAATCCCAAAATTGGGTTAAAAAACCCATTTATTTCACCCCCTCTGCTCAAAGAAATTAATCCCTTTTGGGAACAGATCCCCGATTTTGGTTTCCTTGCCTAAAACACGGAATTTTGGGATATTCCCACCTACCTCGAGGCTCAGGAGGATGCTGATGCTCCCAAATCCCCTTCAAAAATGAGGGCGGGATTCCCTGGGAAAATTGGCATTTATGCCATGAGCGTGTGTTGGAATCTGTGGTATTGATGATTCTGAAATTGCAAAAATTCTCTGTCTTTTAGCCCCGCTGCCAAAGAAGTAATAATTAATCTGTGCTGGTTTCCAGGTTGTTTATTCTGTTTATCTCTCACATGTTCTGCTGCCCTGCCCAGCTCTGTCCTGCAGGGCAGCGTGTGGGGCTCTGCCCTCAGTGGGATGTGACAAACATTAAATACCAGAAACTCCCTGGGCTGCATTTACAATAACGTGCCAATATCTGTCACCTCCGTTGGACAGTGTGTCCCCAGCCTGAACCAACAGAAAAATGCCAACACCACAGTGAGACATGGAGGGCATGAAGAAGGAGAAAAAGGACAAGGCACACCCAATTTCCTCCAGCTTGTCCCCTTTGGACCCCTCATCTAGAATCCTAAAATTTTGCTTTTGCACCCGTGCCACACTTAATTATTACTGATATCAAACACTCAGAGCTGGTAATTGATCCTGTAAGATTGAAAACTCTTTTCCATGGCCAGAGATCACAGCCAGTGTCTCTGGGCGCTCACAGAGCCCCCAGAGACACTGTCTGTGATCTCTGTCCATGGGTTCTCTGCCAGGGTCCCAGACCTGCCAGGGATTCCCACAAGTGTGCCCTCATTTCTTTGTGCTGCAGGCCACGCCAAGTGTGTGGAGTTTGTGAAGAGCTTTAACCTGCCCATGCTGATGCTGGGAGGAGGGGGGTACACGATCCGCAACGTGGCTCGCTGCTGGACCTACGAGACCGCCGTGGCTCTGGACACTGAGATTCCCAATGGTAACTCCCCCTGTGCCAAAGACCTCCCTGGGTCCAAGGTGGCTCCGTGTGGTGGAAAAATCTCTCCTCCAACCCCTGCTTCTAAAGAAAGGCTCAGCAGTCTCTTGTTTGGTCTCAAGGCAGTTTATTGCAAGTTATCTAAGAGATTTTCTCCTGGGGCTGCTGTGGTTTGCTCACAGCTCAGGCAGAGGCACACACACACCCTGACATCCTCTCTGACCCCGACTGCTTCTTCTCTCCCTGCCAGGGCTGCTGCTGTCTTTTACATGGCACATTACATGTTACATGTTCACAGTTTTCCCCAATGCCTATTACCTATAGTAAATGGTGCTTTTCTATCTTTTATATGGTACATTACGTGTTACAGGTTACAGTTTTTCCCCAATGCCCATTATCTATATTAAATGGTGATTTTCTATCTTTTATATGGTACATTACGTGTTACATGTTTACAGTTTTTCCCAATGCCCATTACCTATATTAAATGGTGCTTTTCTACTCTAAACCAACCTGTGAGTGCCAACATCACCAAGAACATGGAGGTGAGGAAGGAGAAAGAGGGAGGACAGGGCAGGCCCAAATCCCAAATCCATCTTAAACCCTCTGACCCCCATGTACAAAACCAAAACCCCCCTGTACAGCACTCAAAAATTCTTCCCTCTACTTTGTGACTACTTCTACTCCAATATCTAAACTTTTGTGACTTCTTGTTCTTCCTGCAAGGTTGGTAAATCATTCCATGGCTCAAACCCAAAATCACAGCTGTTTCCAGCTGTGCCAGGGTCTCAAATGCTTCTGACCTGGGTCTGGAACCTCCAAAAATGTCTGAGGGACATTTTGAGTTCCAACATCCCTGGAGCAGCAGGGCTGGGCAGCACTGGTACCCCCAGGAGCTCAGGGACCTGCTGCCATTGTTACCTCTGCATCATCCCTTCTGCACTCCTGAGTGCTGTAGCTATTCCTGCTGATAATTCAGTGTTAATTATCATTAATTCCCCCCCAGAACTTCCATACAACGACTACTTTGAGTACTTTGGGCCAGACTTCAAGCTGCACATCAGCCCCTCCAACATGACCAACCAGAACACCAACGAATACCTGGAGAAAATCAAGTGAGTGCTGGGGGAACGAGCCTTCCACGGGGGCTGGTGGCCTTGGGTGGCCCCTGGTGACAAAGTGTCCTTCCCTGGCTGGCTCCAGGCAGCGGCTCTTCGAGAACCTGAGGATGCTCCCTCACGCTCCCGGGGTCCAGATGCAGCCAATTCCTGAGGATGCTGTGCAGGAGGACAGTGGGGATGAGGAGGAGGATGATCCTGAAAAACGCATTTCCAGTAGGTGCTGGGAATTGAATTGTGCTGGGAAAAGCCCAAAGCTGAGCAGGATCCTTGAGCTCTTCACGAGGAGGATGTAGGGGTTTAAACGCAGTTCTGACTCCAGGATTTATCTCCCTTGGTTTGTGGGAACAGCCAGAGCCAAACCCTTGGGGTGGAGCTTTGTGGAGCCCCCAAAAACCCGGGCGGGGGGCTGGAGCTTCACCTCAGGCTCTGTGCCAGGGTTTAAACTCTGGTTTTAACCTCTGTTTTAACCCATATAGGGACACACCCTGCTCCTGCTGGGTGCTGACCCCACAGGTCTCACAGACCCCACAGGTCCCACAAATCCCTACAGACCCCACAAACCCCATACACCACACAGACCCCACAGATCTGAATCCATCCCCACCTCCCTGCTGGATTTTTGTAGGACAGAGCCCTGCAGGATCTCTCCTGCCTCCATAATGGGAACAACTTTGGTTTTTCAAGGGAGAACTCCAGCAGTTGCTGAGTGCTGGGCCAGAATCCTTGGCAGAATCCTGGGTGTGATCCCAGCAGTGAGAAGTGGAGTTTTCTACCCAGCTTGGCCCTTGGGATGTGGCAGACAGATTTGGCAGTGGCAGGCTGGTTCTAAACCTGCTCTCAGGTCTAGACTGTGCCTAATCCAAGTTGTCCACATGGTCTTGGAGCAGGTGGGAAGGGACGAGTTCAGAGATGCAGCAAATCCCACAAAAAAAAAATGCTTTTATGGTGGCCTAATCCTGATTTCTGTGAGCTCCACGTGCTGGGAACCTCCTGATGTTGAAAATCTGCTCAGCCAAGCTCTGTCCTCTCCCCTTGCAGTCCGAAATTCCAACAAGAGAATATCCTGTGACGAGGAATTCTCCGACTCCGAGGACGAGGGGGAGGGAGGGCGCAAGAACGTCGCCAACTTCAAAAAAGCCAAACGTGTGAAGGCAGAGGAGGAGAAGGAGGAAGAGGAGAAGAAAGGTGAGCAGCAGAGCTGGCACCTCCTGCAATTCTGCCTGGAATTTTTCCCCCTGCACTGCTCTGTGTCTTTAATTTTATTTTATTTTATTTTATTTTTTTCCCAGATGAGAAGGAAGAGGAAAAAGCAAAAGAGGAAAAAGCACCAGCAGCACCAGCAGCACCAGCAGCAGCAGAACCCAAAGGGTGAGCCTGGCTCCTGCCCATGCCCAGGGGGTTTGGGAGCATTTGAGGGGCTGATGTGACAATTTGGGTGGCACTTTGGGTAGGTTTGTCACAGGTTCCTCACTGGAAGAAATTTGCAGGTCTGAAAAATCAAAACACTGCTCTTTCCTTCAGCAGTACGTTAAAAAATTAAATCCTATTAAATTCTATTAAATTTTAGCTGAAAATGAACCAGATAAGCAACACTTTTAAGCCTTGCTGTTAGCTCCAAACCCAAATTGTTGATTTAAACCAAATCTTTTTCTTTTTTGCTTCCCCAGGGTGAAGGAAGAGACAAAATCCACCTGAGCGGCTGCAGCTCGTCGTAGGCTGAGCTCCTGGGCTGCCTCCTCCCCACAGGATTTCTATTTTATATATGTTTTCTGTATATATTTCTATATAATTGTATAAATGACTGGAGAACTGTAAATTATTCCTTGCTGCACTCCACTGGGAGCAGCCCAGCTTTGGTGACCAGGGAGTTTCACCCTTTGCCTTCCACTGCCCCTCCTTGGTGTGGCTCTAAAAACACAAAAATCACTTAAATCACTTCCACCCTTCCCCCTCTCCTCTGAAATAACCTTTAAAAAATAATAATTTAAGTAGAAGTAGTGTCTGCATTTCAGGTTAGCTGGAAAGATGGCCATCAATTCTTGCTTTTCCTCGATTTTTTTTTTTTTGGGTGTTGTTTTTAATGGGAGAATTCCCAAACCTGGGAGAGACTTTTGTGGTTTTCAGCTGGATTCCACCACGACAAAAGAAAAAACAAAACAAGGAAAAAAACCAAAAAAACAACAAAATCCTGCCACTTCTCAGGGTCAAAATTATGCAGTTCTTGAAGAGAGTTGGCTCCAACCTGCAGCAAACTTGGGGAAAGAGATGAAGCAGCTGAAAAGAAACCTGAAAAGTCTTTTTTTAAAAATTTTTTTTTAAATTATTATTTTTAAAGTGAATCAACCCCAGAACCCAGAACTGGAAAATGTCAAATTAAAATCACCTTTAGGGGGTGATTCAGTTTTCTGATCCAGGGAGTGTGGCAGCATTTGATGCACCTCGAGGGAGGGAAGGGATTTTTTAATCTGGTTTTTTATGCCCCTCTCTGGGTGGGGAGAAAATTCCTCTTTTAGCTTCATTTTCCTCCTGAAATCCCCTCAAAGCCAGCCCAGAGCCCGGCTGGCAGCTTTTCCTCACGCGTGTCCCTAAAAATCCGATTTTTCCCTGATTTTTAAGCCAAGTTTTCCTACTGAATTTCCCTCCCAATAAATCCCAATTTTTATCCTTCTGAGAGAACAGCAGATGGGGCTCCTCCCACCCCCTCAAATCTCCTTTGTGACTTTTCACCTCTCCCTTTCTACAGCTGAGCTTTTTCAGAGAGGAGGGGGAAAAAAAATAAAAAACAACTTTTGGCAAGGCGAGAAATTCTGATTTTTAATTTTTAATTTTTTTTTTTTAATTTTAATTTTTTCAGGCTGCTCTCCTTTCTCAGGGGGATCCCTCCGGAATTCCAGAGGTTCTGCACCTCCCACGGGAGCACTGCTGAGGGTTTCAACTCCAATAATGCTGCTAAAACTTCACACAGGTTTCTTTTACAAATTGTTTTATTTTTTTAACTCGTTTTTTTTTTTTTTTCCCCACCTCTCACCATTTTTTTTCATTTTGATTTTCCCACCTCACCGTGGAGTTTTTTTTTAGTCTCTTTTTCTGAGTGATGTTTTCACTCTGATTTTCAGTGTTTTAAGACAGAGATCAGTGTAACTTCGTGTCTGGGGAACAGGGGAGGGAGGGGAGAAAAAAAAATCTATTGTGGTTTTTTAAAGATGCGTTTATTTTGAATTTTCAGAACCTTTGTAATAAAACTGCTCCATTTCTATGCTTGGTGTCAGCCTGGCCTGCTTTTTCCTTAATTAATTCATTTTCAGAGCTGGTCTTGGATCTCATGGAGATCCCAACCAAAAAAAAAAAAAAATTTAGAGGTGGAATTAAAATTCAGGAAAAAAAATAAGGCATTAATTCCCTCCTCCTTTGAGGAATGTTGGTTTAATTCCATAATCCCATCCACTAAAATATTTCATTTATTTATTTATCCCACACCTGAACAACTGCTTGAATCTCTCGTAAAATAACAAAAATCTCTTGTAAAATAACAAAAAATTGTTATTTTTTAGTCAATTATTTGGGTTTTTGGGGTTTTTTTTGGTTTTTTTTTTTTTTTTAACCTTATCCCCAAGTGTTTTTACAAAACACCCTTGAGATTTTTCCCTGGAAAAAGAAACCCAAAATGTGAGAGATTTTGGGGATTTTTTTTCTTTTTTTTTGCTGAATGCCTCACCTGGGTGGTTTTATTCCCAAATTCCAGCTGGCTCTGAGCAAATTGGGAATAAAATTTGGGATAAACCAAAAAAGCGATGGGAAGGGATGGACTTCATTCACCTTTTGGGCTGAATTGAAGTGATTTTATCCAAAATCCAAGAGGATAAAAATTCCATTTTTTAATTAGCAGCAGCTCCATTGTGGAGCTGAGTGCTGATCCCACCTGAAATGGCCACAAAACCCCAAATCTGCTCTTTTTGGAGTGAAAAAAAGCAATTTTTGTGTGTGTGCTCAGCGGGCTTTGGGTGCTGGAAGCTCCATCCTCCCTCCCACCATTAAATCCTCTTTTTTTTGGGAACAAAACCTGGAATTCCAATGGGATCCCCATTGAATTCCCTGTTCCGGGATTCCTAAAATGGCTGCCAGGCTGCAGCTCCGCAAATCCCCTCAAAAATGGGGAAAAAACTCATTTATTTCACCTTCTGCTCAAAAAAATGAGTCCATTTTGGGAACAGATCCCTGATTTTGGTTTCCTTACCTAAAATATGGAATTTTGGGATATTCCCACCTACCTCGAGGCTCAGGAAGAACATGGATCCTCCCAAATCCCACTTTGCCTTCAAAATTGGGTTAAAAAACCCATTTATTTCACCCTCTGCTCAAAGACATGAATCCATTTGGGAACAGATCCGTGATTTTGGTTTCCTCACCTAAAATATGGAATTTTGGGATATTTCCACCTACCTCGAGGCTCCCAAATCCCACTCTGCCTTAAAAATTGGGTTAAAAAATCCCATTTATTTTACCCCTCTGCTCAAAGACATGAATCCCTTTTGGGAACAGATCCGTGATTTTGGTTTCTTTACCTAAAATATGGAATTTTGGATTCTTTACCTAAAATATGGAATTTTGGGATATTTCCACCTACCTCAAGGCTCCGAAATCCCACTCTGCCTTAAAAATTGGGTTAAAAAATCAGTTTATTTCACCCTCTGCTCAAAGACATGAATCCATTTGGGAACAGATCTTTACCTAAAATATGGAATTTTGGGATGTTCCCACCTACCTCGAGGCTCCCAAATCCCACTTTGCCTTCAAAATTGGGTTAAAAAACCCATTTATTTCACCCTCTGCTCAAAGCCACGAATCCCTTTGGGAACAGATCCCCGATTTTGCCTTCCTTGTATAAAAAAATCAAATTTTTTAGGGTGTTCCCTCCTTGCCCTTGCCGGGGTGGCACCCATTGGGCCAACAATGGTTTGGGGGTTGATTTTATTTTAATTTTTTTTGGTTTTTTGTTTTTTTTCCGGCCAAACCAGCTGGGCTGGGGAATTTGGGAGCAAGGCCATGAAATGGAGGAGGTTCCATGGCAGAGCCAGCGCGGTGCTGGTGACAGGAGCGGGGACAGAGGCTCCATTGTCGCCTCCTTTTTTTCCCTTTGTTCGAGGAAATCTTTGCTCCTTTCAGCCCTCGCCTTTTGTGCTCCTTTCAGGCCGGAGGAGCTAATCCCTTTCTAAAAAAAAAAAAAATGTTAAAAAATTTTTAAAAATTTAAAATTTTTTTAAAAATCTAAAAAAAGATTTAAATTTAAAAAAAACCCAATAATTTAAATTTTTTTAAAAACCGATTTAAATTTTTTAAAAAACCGATTTAAATAAAAAAAAAACCTATCTAAATTAAAAAAAAAATTTAAATTAAAAAAAAACTATTTAATTTTTTTTAAAAACCGATTTAAATTAAAAAAAAAAAAAATTAATTTTTTTTTAAAAAAACAAGCTTCAAACCGGGATTTTCGCCTCGTCCTGAGGAGAATCCACATGGTTTTTCCAGAAATAAAGAATAAAAAAGAGGGATTGGGAGGAAAGCACGGAGCAGGCAGCTGAGCAGCGATGGGGCTGGGCTGGGAAAGTCCTTTGTGGCCGGGCTCTGCATCTGCCGCGAGTCAATTAACGGCGAGCGCTAATTAAAGGCAGCAGCTGTTGGGCTAAATTAGCAACTCCATCTTCACTCGGGACAAGAAGGACTCGAGCTCTCCCATAAAGGGGTCACCATTTATTCCTTTCACATGTTACAGCTTTT